CAGAATAGAAGAAATAGTTGAACTCAAAATAGCTATCAGCTTTCCTTCAAAATCATTCAGTTCTTTAAAAAGGGCACATTGGAGAATCATAACAGAACAGTGAATTTCCAACTACTATTTATCAACTGGTATATTCAGCATGAAGCTTGAGTAGTGTAAAAGATTTCTTTCTCAAATATGTACAAGTACTATGCCATGTTTAGGGGATTCCTAAGCCATGAGTAATGCTGGTAGATATTTATAAATCTTTCCAAGTATTTTCACATGAAAATTCTACAGAAACACAGGGTCAGGATACTAACTGCAAAGTTGTGATCTTCAGTTTAACATGATTAAATAAGGTTTATAAGGAACAATGAGTTCAGTGAACACAGAGGAAAAAAAAATTACCTCCATATTTGTCAGTAACTTACCATTCCATCACCTTCAGTTAAAATGTTATGAAGTTAATGCGAGGACAGCTGAGCAAAAAATGGACAGAAGAAAAAGAAAATATGTACAGGAAGAAACTGTGAAAGAAACAAGAAAGAAACACGATTTCCAATACTATTAAGAAAGAAAACACCAAAAAAGAATAAAGGAAGAGAATGAACTCACAATCCCTTCACAAATCAAATTTTCTTTCATTTTGATATCTTTAAAAAAAACTCTGAGGAGTCCAGAAGCACAACTAGAGACAGCAACAACCTGTATGATGACTGTAATTATTAGTTGTAGAGTAAAACTTCAATTTTTTATGTCCTAAGAATTTAATTAAAACTGCAAAATAAAAAAATTATCCAAATAAAGTGTATTTTGATGGACTGTACTAAACTTCGACATAATTTTAACCATAAATGAACAAATTCTTCTTACTTTTTCCCTTAGTTACCAATAAAACTAGGCAAAAAGGCAAAAAGTCCAACAGGCCATCTCAAAATCTCTCAATCGTCCTATTAATTTACAAAAAGAAGTTCAATTAAAAATATTAACAACTAGACAATACTTCCCAATGAAGTCTTCATTCATTCACCGAAGTAGGTACAATGAATGCTGCTAACGTGATTGTGTCTAGTTCTAAGATCAAGGGTCAAAGTATGGCTGTCTCCCTGCTAGATTTAAAATAATCTACTTTACTCACATTTAAGTTTAATACAGTATATTAAAGTTAGTGGATTCTGTACTGGTTAAGTGTATTATAAAATGTAGTAACTGCAATTTTCAAACCTGGAATGTGACAGGGTTATCATTCGGAGAACAAAATTTGTTAGGAGGCAAGGGAAGAAAGAGAGATTATTTCTAATCTAAATAACTAAAATAAACTTCTATTAAAGGTACCAGAAAGTCAAAACTCTCCTAAAGACACAGTCCTAGCTTCAAGGATAAGAACTCTCTATTTACTCTTGAGGATCTCTTTTCAAAGAGTATTTCTGTGCTACTCTTTTCCCTTGTTTCTGTACATAATCTGACTGCAACAGTGTATTAAGAATTTCCATACGAGACATATTCAGAATTGATCTTACACAGATGTATATTCTATTACAAACATTACACCATTCAGTGCAGACTAAATAAAGATACTGATTATAAAGTATAACCATTCTATTACAAGTTTTGTGATTTTAGTTGCAAAAATCTTAATTTTAAAGTTTTCAAGGTTTACTCTGAAATTTACATAACATGCAAAAGTGAAATTTTTTTAGACTTAAAATCCAGGCAATTTGAATCAAATGAACTGAATTAATTTAAGTGCTGCTTAACAAAGTTTAAAAAAAGAGGAATAAAAGACACACAAGACAATCACTAATAACTCTTCTTTTCAGAATCTACTTCAACAAATTTAATACTACTTCTTGCCATCCTAAGGATATTTAAGGAGAAAATCTGGTACATACAGGGAAACCAATTGTTTCAACGGTACCTTAGTTTAAAAAATAAAATAAAAATTGCTATGTCAATCTTATTTAATTATAAAGAGAAAGAAAACCATCACTAAAGAGGATATCCACTAATCCCTTAATATCTCCTTTCATAAAAATTATGGCTAACAATTTTACCAAGAAAAAAATTTTATTTATAAATTACAATCTACAAAACCTAACTCTAAAAACCACTAACTCAGTCTGCTGTTCTGTTGCCAGCAAATGTTTATTCTCAATAGTCACTGTAACAAACTAAGTAGTACTTTGTTATGATTCTAGACTAAGAAGCATTACTCTATTTATATGGGTTATAGATGTTAAAACAAAACATAAACACACAAACACTTCAGCCCTGATAACTGAAATCTCAGTTATTGTATTCATGTTACAATACTACATAAAACTTCAATAAAGGCTAGTAAACCTATCTGGTCAAGGCACTAACACATGAACAACCACATTTTTTCAACATTCCAAAGAGAACATCACCATTTTCTTTATATAAATATTTAGAAAACCAGGCTCAGAAAATCAGACATTTCTGCAGTAACAAAAACTTGACTTTGGTCAAAACAAATATTTTTATATTCTTTGAAATCATGAACTCTTTCAAAACTTACCTATAGATAAAACTGGAAAATTTCATAACCTACATTAATTAGGCAAGAGATAAGCCAACTTCAGATACTTAAATCCACCCTATCACACCAACAACAAAATACAACTCAATCTTTTGTAAACAGTCTTACTTTAAAACACACATAAAATATTAAAAAACCAACATTTTCTTTCAGAAAGGTGAATACTGAAAATAAAGATTATCAATTTAAAAAGCAGTATCAAAAGGTCAACTTAATTACCACACAAGTATTTTTTACTACCAGGATGATGACATATAGAAAACTATAAATCTGCTTATCAAAAAGGTGAAGTGATTTTTACACAAAGGCTATGAAAAAACAACTTAATCTTTCTGAACCAAACTAGAAGCTGTATTCTGTTTAATTAAAATGTTCACCTTAGTTAAATATGATGAGTAATGTCTAGTTTACTCTTTGTGATGGAGACCAACTTCAGAATGGCAGGTAGCAGCTGGGGGACTATTCTGTTAAGAATATATCTAAATTTAAAAAAGAATATATCTGAATAGAAGAAAAATATTTGATGAAAAAGCTTTACTTGGTAAATTTCATATTATTATAGATTTCTAACATTAAGCAATAACCTACAATAGTGATTCTGTTATCTTTTATTGCATAGTCATTCCTCCATTCTGTTGTTCAAAAAATAAAAATAAAATTAGCCAGAATGCTTGGTGGGACTATTAATTTAATTTTGCTTTAAAAAAAAATGAAAGTCTTCCAGAACGTTAATTTCCCTGCCTCAATAAGGATTTATAATTTTTAAAATAATCAGGAATGATTAATGATCTCTACATGATTATTCAGTATTCAGAACTAGAAGATGAGATTGAATCTCAAATCAGTCTGGAAATTTATTTTAGACTTACTAACATGAACATGTTTCTTCATAATCTGTATCTTCCAAAGGAAATTCTCTATGTCCTCAAAATAAATTTGGCTACTGTTCAAAAACTCTAGATTTATAGTACTATTACTCCTAAATAAGTTTTATAAAGGGAAAGGGAAAGGGACACGCAGTATATATCTAACAGTTGTTTTCCTGTCCCAAAATTTAATCTTTCTGTACTATTTCAAAATGCCAATTTATATAATAAAATGTTGGGAAACATAAGCCCAAATACCAAGAAGTATTACTCTGAAACAAAAGAATATACAAAAATAGTGGATAAAGGAAATGTGTGTATGTATAAATAAATATATATACATTTACACACAAAACGTGAGTTAGCATATTACTACATCATATTTAGTTAGGATGAACAAATACATACAAACATACATATGTGCTAAACAAAATAAAGCGAGGTAGTACCCATTCAAAATGTAAACAGCAACTGAACAGTACAAATAAATAGAAACCATATTCTTTTCTCACTAAAGGAAAGGTAATAAAGACCTATATTTAGTTTTGAGCCTTCCAACTTAATATTACTTAATAATTTAATATTAGTTAAAAAGAAATATAAAGACGCGGGAGACCATTTAATGTAAAATGGAAAAGAACAGCAAAAGGTTTTAAGACAACATTGGAACAAAGGTTATGGGACTCAGGATGGGGTGGTTCAGGAGAAAGAAGACTTACAGGCAATGAAATATTATCATCTAAATATATCCTACAGGACAAATCTGACAATTAATGCTTCGGATCTGTCTAAAATATCTTCTATACTAGAATTATACTGTGTTAGTTTAAATAAAGAAAAGTGATATATTATCAGAACAGCATGAAGAGATTTCTCAAACTATCTACTGATGGCCCTATTTACGTATCCAGAATTGGAGAGTACGGGGAGATGCAGGAAGCTTAAGAAGGGTGATGAATATGTATACTATAGAGAAAACACCAGGTGACTGACACACCTACTGCATGGCATTAGATAAGAGAATTTTGTTTTAACTAAATGATATGCTAACTATAGCTTATAAAAACTTTTTCACACAAGTGAATCTGCAGAAACATAATTTTACCTGTATAATGGATAGAGTCAACTAAGGTCCCTATAACAAGTTCGTATTTCTTATATATTTAAGGTAGCCAAGGAAAAATACTAAAGTTTTATGAAAAGTTAGATTTAGGTATGAACTATAAAACTGTTTGACATTATCTACAAAACAGATAAAATTAGTTTAAAATTCAATTATAGGAAAGCATTCTAGTTCCTACTCAGTCTACTTAGGTGTCTTCATAATAACCAAAGGTATTACAACAAAAGATTATAAAAACATTTAAAATACGATTTTATATAATTTTTATTTACACTTTAGAATTTAAACAACTTGCTGGGAAAATTCTTTGCGAGGCAACACAGTATTTTTTTTTGAAACTACTTAAACTTCAAGATGGGCTCACTAATTTTTTTCAAGGGCAAGCAACACATGTGTTAGCTGAAAATAGCCAACTTAATGATCACTTGTAACACAGACTTGATTATGTGAACCTAGAGAGCCTCCCCACCTCTGTCTCCCCTGTGAAGGAGGAGGTCTTTGTGTACTTTTGTGTGGCGGTTCCACTGAATTCATTACAATAGAGATGGACATTTGATATTCATAACGATCCAACATCTGAGCAATCTTCTTTCGAGACACACCATGTTTATTCCTCCTACCAAAAAAAGAAAAGGATTTTAATTTTTTTAAGAATGTATAGGCTTAGAGATTAAAATGTTTTAGAGTAATAGAGTACAGATTCTAAATTATATTTTGTAAATAAATACTAGAAGATACATCTCACTTATATTTTATACAAAATAAATATTGGCTCTCTCAAAGTTTTAAACAGTATCTTACAAAGGCTTAAAGATACCATAAATCACAGCAAGACGTTAACTCATTACACCTTCACACAGAACTACTGATTCACTAAACCACTGAGTTAATCTTCCCCCCTTAACAGCAAAATAAAAAATTATAATACTGTTTTGAGAATTACAGGAAAATTGAGTGCGTGTCTAGGACTTAGAAAAATCAACACAAAATATTTATCATTTTGAAAAGTTATTTTAGGACACTTAAATTAAAAAAATTTTATTATCAATAACAATTATTAGAGATACAACAATTTGCACATATATCACAATGTTGAGTGAAATAAACTAGATACAATGAAAATACACTGAATAATTCTATTTATATGAAGTTTGAAAAAAATTTAAACTATAATGCTAAAGTAAAGGACATTAAAAAAAAAATGCTTTAAGAAAAAGCGAGGTAGTTATTACCAAGGAACTGCTACTGGGAAAAGGAGTTTAAAAAACTTCTGAAATGTTGGTAATGCTCTCATGACATGAGTAACAGTTAAATGAGCATCTGCTTAGTAAGAAATTTTTAAGCTACATATTTACATTTTATGTACCTTTCTGTGAGTTTAGTTACGATTAACAGGAAGTGGTTTAAAAATTGTCCTTGACCCTCAAATAACTTTTTTACAAAGTATTCTACCCTTTTAGTTTTCTGTAACTTTACTTGGACACAGCAAAACAACAAGAACATATTTTACATTTAATGTTACAGTTCTAGATTTACTAATGTTAACTCATTTTTCCAGAAAAAGAACACAAAAGAAATGTTTACTTTTCGAAACTATTGATGTTTAGGTTACAGATGAGAAGAAAAAGCAAGAGAAAGAAAAGGAGCAGACACCCTCCCTCTCTACACACACACAAAGAGATTAGAGGTTGAGATTGAAATTGGCCAAAATATAACTAAATCCACAAGATGTCAAAATTAATGCTTCAATCAATTCTTTACCAAAAAATCTGTCAAACTATACTAGGTACCAGTCCTACTGACTTTATTTTGTAAAGTTAATTTATATTAAGAATTTTAATAAATTTCAACAGAGTCAAATGTAAATAAAACCTAATTATATAATAATTTCATTAATTTATTTAGCATAGACCAAATATCTTAAGTTTTTAAACATCTCTCTCTTCTACCTGAGATGCAATAGACACAGAGGCAGGCAAACAATACCTAATGTTAATAATATCTATCAGTTTAACTATACATTAATCTAATTTGGCATACAAATCATAAAGAAAAAAAGTAAACAAAGGAATGAAAATTCAGAGGTACAAAAGCAAAGAAAGGCAAGGAGGAAAGAGTTAAATTAATTAAACACTGTACATAGAACAACAGCTTTAAGCTGGAAGAGGACAAACAGGTGGGAGAAAAAAACTGGTTTTTAAAAAGAAAGGTGATGGTTGCACAACTCTGTGAATATACTGAAAACCACTGAATCGCACACTTTTAACAGGTAAATTATAAGGCATGTGAACTGTATCTTAAAAGTTGTTTCCAAAGTGGGGAAGGAGGAGTGAAAAGAAAGAAAAAAGGAGCCATATTCAGGAACACCAGGAGAAACAGATGAAGGTAAACACAAATGGAAGAGCAGGGCTGAAAGTAACACAAGCCCACAATCCCTCACCACAAATTCTGAAATCTAAAGTGCTCTGAATATTGAGCTTTCTGTTGACTCACAAAGCAGCAAAGTCTAAACAGGCTTGTAATCACTGGAGCACAATCTACTGAGAACTATCATTCGATTATGTAGAATCATTCTTATCTACTTAGATTGACCATTCATGATCTGCTACAGAAATATTGATGTTTGATTACACCATGCTGACCCAAATTCTGCTAGAGGTGTTACAATTAGGTACACTCACTATATTACTTTTCTAAAATTCCCGCAAATATACCTGAAGTCCAAAACACATTGATTCCCAGGATCTTGGGTATAGGACAGGATCCGTAGTAGTAAAGATTGAAAAGGGCGAGAGAGAAAGCACCAGGTAAAAAGGTGATGGGATCTAAAATGGGAAGGAGATGAAGTTGGAAGGGCAAGGCAGAGAAGTGGGCTAGCTAAAAAACAGAGGGAAAAGTCCTAAGTTTCCTCTCAAAAGTTTTTTGGATCTCCACAAGCATTCAATAAACTGGAAACAATGTAGAAATTCGTATAAGAAAAAGTAACAAACACACTTAAGAAACATTTAATGAAATTTAACAGTGCAAAAAGGGCCTCTAATATTTCACACTGAAGTCAGTATTCCTCTTAACATAAAGTGAGAAACTGTAGCCCCTATTCACAAGCAGCAAAGACACTGTAAGTAAAAGCTAGTAAAGCAATTGACCACATAAAAAAGAAAAGAAGCAAAAATAGATAAAGGATTTAAAAAATTTTGAGTGCCTTACTTTTCTAATTCTTCAGGATCAAATTTCCACCAAGTTTCAGGTTCATGAAACTCTACTCTGTATCCTTTTCCTATGGCCTACACAAAAGAAAGGAAGAAAACAAAAACCCAGAGAATACTTCTTAAACTAAAAAGATGGCAGACAGATATAAATTTCATTTAGACAGTATTTCTAAATTTGCTCAACTGAGAAAAATTTTACTTTTAAAATAGAGTTTATAAAAATTTTAAGACTCCTTAATGGACAAATTCCAAAAACTATCCTCAAGTCTAGGCAAAACTAACAAGATGAGCATATTTCTTAACAAGCACCATTCCCAATTTTTTTTTAAACTAAGCAAATGAACACACCTCTTTAGAGAACAAGGACAAATGTTTTAATAATAAAAATCAAAGTAATCAAAATTTCAGAATATGAAAAAATTGACAAGATAAAATATATAAACTATCTCATATCTTATATTTACCATTTCCACATACGGTTTCATTTCCCAAGCTTGTGTATTAGTGTTGTCTATTATAACTGGAGATCTCCCCTGATTGATAGCTTGTTTTGCTGAAATAAAAAATTTAAAAAACGAAAACAAAACACAGAACTATTAGATAAGATATGCAAAATAAAACTTGTTATTAATCAATTTTCTACATTCCTGTACTGAAATCCAAAACTGCGCACTCTCTTGAGCCAGTGCAATGAAAATAAAAGGACTCTGCTAGATTAAAGGGAATTAAGAGATATAAACACATGCAATGTGTATTCTCCAGATCAATACTGGTTTTGACGAACTAGCGGAAAAGGACATTTTAAGGAAAACATTTTGTTGAATTTATAACTAATGAAGCCTTTAGCCCAGAGCTAACTTTCATTTACAGAAACTGTTACATTTGAATATGGTCTGAGTAACATTTACTGACATGGAAAGATGGAGGTTGTTAACTGAAAATGGCAATTTACAAGATAATATTTTAGTATGATCTTATTATGGTCAAAATATAAAGATACAGGAAGAGTTACTAAGACACCAAAAGTGGTCATATGTAGATGGTGGGAATATATGCATTTTGTGCTTTATCTTTATTTTCCAAAGTTCTACAATTATAAAAAATGCTTCTGAAATAAAGCAGACATGTTAAAAAAAAGTGCTATGGATTTAGCAATATTTATATACTAACTAGCTAAACACTACAGTTCAACTGGATTTGTGGATATTTCTTAGAGCTATGATTCTTAAACTGGGAGCCGAGATAGAATGGAGCTTTTCTCAATTATATTTTCCCTATCTCTGCTGCATCTATTCTCCCATAGGGTGAGAATTACTGCCACACTGAGGCACTGTTAATGACAGTAGTGTGTGTATCCCTTAAGTGTAAACAGGCAAGATTAAGAACCTATGATAAAATTTAAAAGGCTGAGCCAAATGCAATGATACAGAAGTCTGGCTGGGATTTAGAGTTCAAACCATGAAGTTCTACATAATGAAAACATTTATATAGATTTCTAAGGGCAGAATTCTAAAGGTTAGTTTAGTAATGACTATGGTGGAATACATATTGGGAAGATGTCTCTAAATACTGAAAGAAATTTAGAATTTGAATCATAAATAGGATACCAAGATGCTATCATCTTCCACTGCTCCATCTGCAAATAGTGATCAAAACTTTCATTTAAAAAAAGGAGTATTAAAGTAATTCTCCTAATGTCTGATAGTGAAGCTTACACCTTCAAGAAGTTATGATCTAGAAGAGGAGCTTATTAACCAAATAAATCTCTGATTTGCAGGAATGGGGATATTATTCTCTTTCCATGAATAATCAGCATCCAATAACATATTCCACTGCACTCCAGGAGAATAGAGCTCCTGAGTAAACAATGTTTGAATACTCAAAGAGAGTTTGTTTTCTTAAACAAATTAACAGTCATAGTCTAAGAAAGAGAATAATGATACCTTGGAGATATTTTTAATTTATAGGCAGTTGAAGGTGAATTTAGATTCTTCTAATAATAAACATGAGGTATATAGATAATCCCAGAATAATGCCTAGCATTTAAAAGTATTCAGAAAATGTTTGTTGGAAAGGGAAATTTTGCCCCAAATTGTTATGTTCATAATTTTTAAAATGTCTAATGATTGCTAGTTATCATTACTTTGAAAAGGGTAATAATTACCTTGAAAAAGCCTATATTTATTATACTAAGAAAACTAGTGGTTTATCTAGACACCAATATGTTCAGCAAGTATAATTCACATGCCATGAACATTTTAATGAAATATTCTAGACTGGTATTACAAAAAGAAAAAATGTTCCAAACAAACTTCCCAGTCCACCAAAGGTGTATCGGCTCATTCCACTTAACCACCTACTCCTATTCCCCTTAACTTTAGGTCAGTAACTCCAAACATTTTTTGATTTGGGCAGTAACGTTCTGTGGCATGATAAAAAAAACAAAAACAATTAATTTAAAAAATATTTTATGTTAACATATCTCTAATATATCCGGAGAAATCCTAGAACCCAAACTAGAAAACAGCCTTTCAATCAAACTTATCTGGCACAAACTTTTTACTCAAAAATATCCTCATGAAATTCCTCATACTGAAAACTGACAATTAAAAAGAAAAGCATTTATCCTGTTTTTCTTGTACATATTGTACCTTAGGGTAACCCTAGTTGCTAGTTCTAGGTGAGAGGAAGTTCTTCCTTACAGAAGAATTCTAGCTACTAAACACAGAAGAAATGATAAACCTAGAAAATCATCATTCTGTAACCCTTAATGAAATAACTGATTCAGGAAACAATTCATCTTTGAATAAAACAGGAAGTAGGCCGTCCCTCTGAAGCTAATCAATCTGAACATCACTAAAAATGGACAACCAAACATTTATTTACACACACACACACACACACACACAAAATGGTTGAACCTAATAAATCCTCCAGTCTACAGGTTAAAATGGTTACCACAAGGAAGCAAATAGACTACTACAGGATATGAGACACGATAGAATAACCAACCAAGCTTCTGCAACAAGCTAAAGGTATGGGGGCAAAAACAGAAAAAACAACTATAGATTAACTTAATTAAAAGAATCATAAAGCAAAACATGAAATGTACTGCAAGGACCTTGTCCGATCTTGATTCAAACAGAACAATTGTAAAGAAATACTTAAGACAATAGGGGAAATTTGATTACAGACTATATTACATGATGTCAAGGAACTGGGATTTTGTTTTCCTTTTTTTTTTTTTTGGTATGATGATGGCACTGCAATTAAATAAAGTGTAATTAAGTAAGGAGGTTAATTTGAAATGCATAAAGCAATGTCTAGAATTTGCTTTAAAAAATACTTCAAAAAAAACTTCAGCAAATTAAAAGAGGTGAGGAAGAGAAAGCAAAAGGGATAAAGCCAATATAACAATATCTTAATAAGTGATAATAATTCTGATTGATGGGCGTGTGGGATTCATTGTAACCTCTCTACTCCAGGTTTAAGTAATTTGTCTCATCATCAACACATTCTTAATCTGTTTAAAAAGAAATGAGGTTGTAGTATAAGCATTTACTTACATAGTTCTAGGTCAACAGTTTTCAATACTGATTGTAACATTAGAATATCTGGATAACTTAAAAACAAAACAAAACGAAACAAAAAAAACCAATATTTCGATCCACTCCAGACCAACTAAACCAGAATCTCTAAGGCTAAGACTCAGGCCTAAGTTTTTTTAAAAGGTCCCTAAGTGATTCAAATACGCAGCCAAGCTTAAGAACTACTATTCCAAAATGAAAAAAAGTTGACTCACGTTCCTTTAAAAAAATGTATTAAGTATTTTTTTTTATAGAGTAGTATCAATGAAAAAACTTTTAGTATTCCTGGGCATTACATTAAGCCTTAGAAAACATTAACATTACTCTTAGGGAAATAACTTTTGGGAATACATAACAGTATCAGAGTTCTCTGAATTTGTTCACTAGGTATAAAATAACAAACTGTAAAATAACTATCAAAACACCCTACATCTCTGTTGTACAAGCTTATATATGCCACTTATTTACAAAACATTCTACCTTCATTCTCTGGTTTTCACAACAACCTCAATCAGGTTGGGCAGTATAATTTTCATCATTTCTAATAGATGAAAAATTGGGTCTCAAAGCTGTTTCAATGGCTTGTCAAAGCAATCCAGCTGGTAAAAGTCAAGTTGAGAATAAAAATTCAGCTCTTCTGACCTTAGCCAAATATTCTATCCCAGAAGACTTGGCCCAAAACAAACCTCTGTTCTGGTTCCAGTCATGGGCATCACCAAGTTGATTAACATTATACCTGTACCCATCTTGATGGTGAAAATAGTCATCAGTGCTGAACACAATGCCATCACGACTCTGACCAAGTAGAATTCTGTTAATAAAAGAAATCATAAAGGTACCATTTATAAAATCTATAACCATTAGAAATAAGCCACACAGAAAAGGTTATTATATGAATTTCTGGTACATACCTATAAGTGTATTACAGATAGAACAGCACAGGAGCTGAACCTTAAAAAGCTTTCAGATTGCAAGTATCACTTCACACTTAAATCTACATAAATTATAGTCAGTAACAGAAACTTTTTAAAGCAGCTTTTGTATTGCAACTTTTAAAAACACTCGTTAACCTCAAAGTTATGTTAACTATTATTCATGTTTCAACGTTAGTGAATTTGTATTTGGTGTCTAAAATCGCCTAAATATAGTGCAACAGGTAACCTAACAGACAAGTAAGCCTAAGCAAGCAATTTACCTGGGGAAAACTTTATTAGACTCACGATAGGGTTAATAAACTCATTTCTGTGAAGCCCAAACATGTATGACCTGAAAACAGAAGTCAGAAATAGCCTGAGGCTTAAGATTGCGAAACAAGCTGTAATCCTCCAGAGTATAACCAAATTTAAAATTTTTAAGGCATTAAATTACTAAATGAAATTAATTATTAAACACTAAATAAAGAACACAATCTCAGAACAAGTCAGTGGTAATCAAGCTTTGTTCTCACAAGATGATACCACCTTTAATCTCTAAGCAGAGAGAGACTGACAGGTGTTCAGCGTCAGAGAAGTTCCACAACCACTGTTTCATAAAAGGTGTGGTGTGCTGAGAAAAGGGAAAAGATAGTAAAAATAATTTGGATCCAAAAATAACAAAAATATTTTCTGTCCCCTCTCTCAACAATTAGGCAACTGGATTTCATTCTGTAATTTCTTTTTGAGAGAGGGAAGGAAGTAGAAAGTGGCAGAAGGAATGATATTGTCCAGCAATAATTCAAGAATACTTCCTAATAAAAAGTATTAGTAAGTCAGGGAGGGTATAGCTCAGTGGTAGTGTGTGTGCTGAGCATGCAGGAGGTCCTGGGTTCAATCCCCAATATCTCCATTAAAAATAAAGTAAAAAGCAAATAAATCTAATCCCCTCCTCCAAAAAAAAGGAATAGGAAGGATTACAACTATTAAGATAATAAACATCTCTCTCCTTTCTCATCAGCTTACAATAAAATTGTATATACCTTAGAATAAAAATAAAATCTCATAGGTAAAAATTAAATATTTTTAATATACATTTCCACTTACAGAATTATAGTTCAAATTACTTCAAACAAATCAAATTAAAGTAAATGGTTTATATTATTCGTATGCTTGTTTGGGAGGCTACAGTTGGACTTTTCATGCAGCCATAATCTTGCCAAAATATACCATCTAACACATTTGGCATCTTATTTCCTTATACAGATTACCTAGAATATAAAAGTGCCACAATATTAGCATTCCACCAAAGCTCAATTACCTAAAAAGATTATCATCATCAACTGTATGATATCTAGTCATATTCAACAGTGTCAGAAAACTGGTACCATCTCTCCTAGATACTACATATGTTTCATTTGTTTTCTGTTCTATTACTTTATTAGCAAGTGATAATTCAGATGTTAATAACACCATACTACAAGAGTACAGTAGTGTTTGTATCCAAGAAATGTTTAACTTCTCCCAAATAAAAAAAAGTGTGGGGGGAGTACACATCAATTTATATCATTAAATAAACTAAGTCAACATCAAACATGAGTACACTTCAATAAAGAACATCTTAAATATAAATCATAGTTAACAGTAAATAATTCTAGCTTGGAGAGGCTTTTTCCTCCCAGACTGCTCATGCAACTTTTCAAAATTCCCTGAATTATCTTAAACTATGAAGCTTTATTTTGGTGACTTGTATTTTAAAAAACCTGTATCAATCTAGATATATCTGATGTCATACCAACCACTTGAACCAAAAATAAATTATTTAAGAATATCAGTATTTTCAAAATTCTTAGTCAGATTCTATCAGAATTTTCACAAGTCAGATACTAAAATGAATTCTCAGGATGACAAAATTCAGAGCTCTGAAAAATCAAGAATCTAATAAAAAAAATTCAGATGTGGTCCCACTGGCCACTTGATTGTATTTCTTCAAAACAGCTACCTTTTTGAGAATCTCCTATGTGCCAAGTATTTTATTTATATATATATGTGTATATATACATATATAATAAAAATATATCTATGATAGCATTTAATTCTCACAACCTTACCAATGTTGTATTAGACAAATCCAGAAAAGAAAATAATTTCAGAAATCAAGCCACCAGCTACAGAAACAGTAGTGGCTTAAAAAGGTTTACAGCGATCTCTGCCTCCTGGTATTCACACTCTTGTATAATCCCCTCTCCTTGAATGTGGATTAGAGTCAATGACTAGCTTCTAATAGACTATGGAATGCCATTTCCAAGATCAGATTCTAGGGGGGAAAAGTGACTTGCTTTCTCTCTTCACATTGCGAATGGAAAGAGACCCAAGTAGCAAAGAACCGAGGGAGGTCTCCAAGCCCACAGAGAGGAACTGAGGCCCACAATCCAACAGCTGACAAAGAATTGAGTCTTGTCCGCAACCCCGTGAGAGACATTCCAAGCAGATCCTTCCCAAGACAAGCCTTCAGACCAGAACACAGCCCTAAGGAAAATCCTGCTCATAGCACTGTTAGAGACCTTGAACCAGAGGTACCCATGTTCCTGTCCTTCAAAACTATGAAACAATAAATGTCTGTTCCTTAAACAACTCAGCTTTAGGGTAAAAGGGTAATAGAGCTACAGATACCTCACGCACTGTGTGCTTAAAATCTTTCACTTAAGTAAGGAACAAGTGAATTGTGTTCCTTAAATCTCATTTCGAGAAACCTATTCCCCAAAATGGCCTATTATGAGTTAGTTTTCATGGTTTATTTTTAAAATTTCTACAAGCCATACATTTTCTTTAATACATCCACATGCATTTATAAACAGAAGTGATTTGCTCAAAAAATACTGAGTAAAACTGACACTTCACAAACCTTTTACCTCCTATGTACTGAGTGGCCCTGTATACTCCTAGCCCAAGTCCACTTCACTGGGACACTTCACTCTCCAAACACTCCCTGAATTAAGAATAAAGCCGTACATAAGAAAAGGTCAATCTTTCTGCTGAAGTTTAAACTGAGAGCTGTTCCAAAAGCAGGGAGGAAAAAAAAAAGTCTCCTCCCATCTCTCTTTAAACTGTAGCTTTCTATGGTTGTTGTAACAAATTTCATAAATTTGGTGGCTTAAAGCAAACCAAATTTATTATCTTCCAGTTCTGAAGGTCAAAGGTCTGAAATCAGTTTCACTGGGTTAAAATCAGGTGGTGGGCAGGTTGGCATTTCTTCTGGAGGCTCTGAAGGAGAATCTATTTCCTTGCCTTGTCCAGCTTCTAAAGGCCATCTACGTATCTTGGCTTATGGTTCCTTCCTCAATCTTCAAAGCCAGCAGTGTAGTATTTCTTTGACAAGTGTTTCAACTATCTTTTACCCTGATCAACTCCAGACATTTTGCTAATATAATGAAATTAGTGCCTTGTTTCTGAAAATACAATCTCTCACTGGTGAAATCAATAGCATATAAGAAATGTGAATTAGCTAAAATATTTTAGATTCACTCCTCCTCCTGCAAGAGGGTATAAGAATTTAGCAAAATCTATATAGCCCACACCCCTAGGAATAACACCCAAGACTTGACCCCTAGTGTCCAACCTGAGTCAGAGGATTCTGTTTGGCTAAGTGCCAACTACAATGGTAACAAAATTCTACCTCTAGAATATCGTTGGATTCTGCCTCGAATGGACCTTTCATCAAGTGCCATCAGTTTGCCAAGAGGACAAAGAGCTGGTACTTTATCACACCTACAAAGATTGTATGAACTGTTTTACACTAGGTTACTCATAAATATTTAAAGTCTGTACTTGTGTTAGAATTTAATCTAAGACTGATTTCATTAAAACCTGTTAGTGAAGTTGTGGGTAAACAACTGAGCCTCACCCACTCAAAACCAAACTGGCTTAGGTCAGTTATCAATAAATAAAAAGATAATGCTGTCTTGTGTAGCTTATGCTACACGAAGAGAGTGGTAAAGGCAAATACTACATGAGTTCAAAACGAGAATTACTGAGGGCTGAGATGAGAAACTCAAACCTCAAAAGTAGAGGCATTTAAGAGTACCTTTGAATAAGGAGAATCCTGAGAACAATGAACCAACAAGTAGTATGTCTCCTGCAGTAAAGGGTAGATACTAGTGTGGAAGGATATGAAAATAGTGAGGTAAGTAAGGACTAAATTAAGGAAGAAGGGGACCTGAATACTATCCCAAAGGAATCTGAAATTTATCTAATCCCCTATAAACCATCACTACCTATCAATAGTAAATAATCCTACCTTTTAATTTAGTGCCCCAAATCAGCTCAACTCTGATCCTCCAAATCTTTATTCCTTTCTTCAAAGCTCATTTTGAAAGCTAAATCCTATATGAAGTCATTCCTCACTTGAGTATATGTGGCTTTATATCCAATCCCAAACAATCATTCCTACTTCAAAGAAGTGTTGAGCTAATGAGATACTCCTTCTTTAACAAAGCTTCTCAAAGTCAGGAGTCAGGTATAGGGCTACACATGTGACAGATACTAAAGTGAAGGATTAGGTAAGGAACACATTATTATTTCTATCTCTAGTTTGATCTCTTACCAGTTTTTGTAACTTCTCTCAAGTCCTTTAACATTTGTATTAGCCTCTGCTCCTTCTAAAAAATGAAAAGACTAACTCACCTAACAAGATTATTACATAATAAAGTACTCTACAAATTGTAAATCATAACACAAATGGTAGTTGCAACTATAACTTCCATTCTATTAGACCTAATTCTTCAAATTAAAAAAGTACATATATGTAATTACTTTGTCATCTCCCTCTACAATTATGTCTTCTCAAAATTCTACTGAATTACCATTTACTTTATTCACTTTCAGTTTCAAACATATTACAATATGTTGTTCTAAACCTAACTTACCTTTCTTACCTTTTTTCTATACCTGCTTTTAGTCAAGAGGCCTTAGCTAGGAGATTCTCTTCAACCAATTTCCAAATTTCAACTATTTTTTTCTCTGATATTATATTCTAAACCTAGCAGAATGCCCATGTTTGTAAAACAACTTCATTTTTAATTTCTATCTATTCTAAAGAGTTGAAATTTCATCTTCTCTACAAAAATTTTCACTAAAAGGGAACCAAAATGCATAGACCTAAATTTAAATTCATTTACAAAGATGTAGCTTGAAATGTCGTCATCATAATTTAATCTTTCTCTAATTTCTTGCTTCTGAAGAAATTTTGATTAGGTTGTTTAGATTGTCTTGCAAGTAAAAACATGTACAAAATGGTTCCTTGGACTTTTTTATCCTCACCCAAAGACATCAAACAAGTTTTCTTTTTCTCCTTATCTAGCCTAAATCTTGAATATCCTACATAAACTACAAAATATTTGTATTATTTTTCTTTGTATGACTTTTCAAAACTACACAAATGTATTTTAGTGCATCAGTATTTTTTTCAACTGTAAACAAAAAGAGTAATTTGAAACATTTCACCACATGATAAAACATCACCAGTTCTAACTCTATTAATTCAGATACTGTTCACTTCAAACTCCTTATAAAGAAACCAAAAAAAAGATTTCTCCTGCCAATCAACAGCATGAACACGGACGGCACAGGTCTAAAACCACGCTCAAAATTCCTTTCCTTCAGTTATCTCATTTGCTTCTTACAGTAATTCCAGAGAAGTATTACTCATTTTATTAACACAGAACAAAACCTGTCCAAGATCACAAAGTGAAATAATCTGCGTCAAAGCCCAAGTCTCCTACTCCTGAATCCAACTCTTGATTAACTGACTTAAAAGGGAAGGCCAGCACAGTTCTCAAATAGCATTGGCTTTTCTCACTGTCATAATTACACATGGTGAATCTATTTTTAAAGTCCTTAGCAGAATCTTAACATAAATATGTATATGCCAAGTCTCCTTTCCTCTATGGGAAAATATCTTTTTAAATAATTTACTGTCAGATGTCACTCTCAAGTATAACAAATTAAAGATTTTCCACTAGAAACATAAAAGCATTTCCCATTGATTACAACTATCATTTATGACTAAGTAATGAATTACCAAGTATTTACTTAATACCCTTTACTTACCGAGACAATGTTGTTTTCCCAGAACCAGGTAGGCCTCTTAAGAGAATAAGTAACTTCTGCAATTTATTTAACTTTTCCTCTTGAAACTGCGGATTCATAAACTTGTCTGTTCCATTATGCTTGTCCATAGAAGGATCTTTCCAGCATCCTTCACTGGTTTCACAGAAACCATTACTCGCATATCCACCTTGCACACTGTAGCCATTTCTAGAAGGATGATCACTACTGGTAATGTCACTACAGTCAGTATATTCATTGTTCTGATCAAAAGTCAAACAATTCCAGTTAACATGACAATTATTTACATAATATCCATTTTGTAGCTGAAAACCATCTTGGGCATGGAAAATACTTGATGGTGGATTTGGTGGAACACTGAATCTTTGAATATTAAAACTAGGAAGAAGAGGGTCTTGGGGTACTATAAAAGAATGCATTGATTGCCATTCAGGCCTGAAGGAAGTAAACGAATTGTCACAAAATGTTGGTATTACGTGTCCATCACAAGGATATTCGTCTGGTTCATTCCCCAGGTACTGTTGATAACCACAATGTGACTGAAGGACATTACTAAACTCTTTTTCCTTTTCTTCTTCAGATTTTAGCACATCATTATTACTGCTCTGATAATATGAAATAAGCTGTCCCTCAGAGGGTTCAGGTTCCTTACCACTGACTTCTGAATCATCTTTTTTATTTTCAAGCTCTTCAATTTCTTTGTAAAACTGGAATAATTCACTGTCAATTTCTGATTTTTTCTGTTTCTTTTCTTGTCCTGCTTTGCCATCTATACCATTGATAGTGTCTGCTTGTGTCCTCCTTGCGTTACATTTTTTTTTCTCAGGGGGTTTGTAAATGGGTCCTATAAATGCTTTACTTGTGCTATATATCTCGTTATCCGTGGATACCAATGGAGGGTGTCTGGCCTGTAAAACTTGTGAATCAACAGAATCAATAATATCCGGAACATCCGGTCTATTACCAGGCATCTCATCATGCACAGGTTTCAGCAAATCTGTAGTTTTGGTTTTGTCTTCCTGAGGATAACTATGTCCTCTGACATCAATGATGGTCACAGGCACCCAATCATTTCCAGTTTTTTCCCGGATTCTGTGAAAATTAGCACTACCATGATAGGGGAAAACATGTGCCTCTTCAGCAGACTTCAGTTTCTTACAGCATGGTTCACTTGTTAGTTCTTCCCCATGTCCCATGGATTTAGCTTCAATTTCACTATGAGGCATCTAAGGAGCAAATTCATAAAATAAATAGCTAATATTTTAAAAATCTAAACAAAAGTTTCTTTAGAAACAACAGCAAAATATTTGTTATATAAGCATTTCATAACATTTTCCCAAAATACAAAAATTATAAAATTGTAACTTTGTAACTACCATGTAAGTATTGTTAAGACATGACTTACGGGAGGGGTTGCACCGAGATAAATAAACATTCTTTTTTTAAAAAAAAAAGTTACATCTCACATTTAATCTAAGTGATGCATTTCTGAATTCAGAAAACTTAAACAAGAATTTAAGCAAGCTTGGAAAGCTGAATCAATAATATATATTTTGATAATACAGACATACAATGGTGTACTAAAAAGGAGAGTAAATGTGCCAACCAAAGTGACACATACCCAAACTGGTTGTGATAAACTGCACCATAAACGTCTTCCTGTTTAAAACCATTAAGTCCTTAGGAGTAAACAGATCCAGCTGCCAAACCTCGAACAACCTTATCTCCTTGGCAATCAAACGTCAGACTAAAATGTCAGTCTTTATGGGCCCTGTTCCTATGAGCAGGGTAAAGGGGTTTTCAAATAGGTGTACTGCTTTAATTTTAAAGAAAAAGATGTAATAACTTCAGTTGTACTGAGAACGACGCAAATACGTCATGTTTAGGGAAAAAACCTGGCAACTCCCAAAATCAAAGCCCTCATCTTTCTCAAATGGTTGGTCTTTCGAGAAAATAAATTCTACTTCCCCTGAATTTTCTTGAGGACCCTCCAGAGTACAATTCAAAATCCAAATATTGTTTTATTCAATACTTCTTCATTCCGCCCGCTCTCTGGTCTTCCTCTCTCTAACACAAGAGAAAAGAGAAAGGGCAAAGAGACGTACTAGAATGATACAGGTAGGCCCTAGACAGACAGGAACAAGATACACCTGTAAAAAACGCCGTCATCCCGGAAGCAGCCCCCCTCCCAAGCCGCCTCTCAGCTTCTCATTTCCTCATTAGGAAGAGCAGAAAAGTCCCAAGGAAGAACAAGAAAGTTGCGTTAACAGAGAGGCCTATACATAACCCAAACCCTAAGGCCGCCTGACCTCCAAAGAGGGCAGCCCGGCCAAAAGTGCGTCACCCAGTTTCTTCGTCCCAACGAGGACATGTTTAAGTTCCGTCTAGGAATTTAAGTGAGTTCCGAGCCTGAAAGGTTCACTCCCGCCTTCTACATGTACCACTAACCTAAAGAGTTCAGCCAAGCGCCAGCGAGAACCCAAGTCGCTAATGGAAGGAGGAAACCGAAAAACGTCACCACAACCCCACCTCACTTAAAATGTCGTGTTTACTCACCTTACACCACAGTTCCGCATTGACTTTTACCTCCCAAGAGAACCTTCTTCTAGAAAGACACGAACATCTGAGAAGGTGAAAGAAGCGCGGAGACACGAGCGAAAGCAGACACGCGGGAGAGACTCAAAACCCAGCTCTCAGAATCTGAGCAACAAGCCGCACCTCCGTACGCAAGATGGCGGCCACCTCGTAGTTACCCCGGCAGAAATTACGGGTTCGCGCCAGGCATTGTGGGAATTGCAGTCCGGCGTTCACACCAGGCCTAGAAACCGCAGCGCCTCCCAGAACCCACTGCTTGACAAACGGGCTAACGGCAACAAACGAAGGCCGGAAATAGTTTTTAGTTCGAACCGGAACTAGTTCTTAGTTCTGAAGTAGTTTGGAAATAGAAACTTCGGCTGAAAAAGGTGGTGACGTAGCCCGAGTTTCGCCCCTAAAGGAAAAAAAAGACTGTGAGTGCCTGGCACCTCAAACAGAGACATAAGTTGCTCTCGGTGCATGCTTTAAAGTCTTTTTAGGAGACAAAGGTTTTTCAAAGGGGGCTTAACGTTTGGTCTCGGCTTTTCAACGAAAAACGAGTAATTGTAGCCTCATTTTTCTATCGAAGAAGAGTAACTGCAGGAGAGCCTTGATAACAGATGAAAGTACTTACGAGAAAATCACTTCATGACATATTTGTATTGTGTTTTGTTAAGGGAAATAAAGACCATTTCTTGAAGTTTCTCATTTACAAAATTAATTTGTGAAAAGCGCTTAGAACAGCGCCTGGTAAAAATAAGCGTTGGGTAAGTGTTAAATTAGATATGAATACAAACAGAAAAAGTGGCAATCCTCAGCTCAGGGTCCCTTCTTTTTTCCCCCCACCCTCTTTAGACCCTCTCTCTCACCTGCATTCTTCCTGTCTCAGAAAGGAAAACTGCTAATCTCTTCATATGTATTTAAATAAATTCGTTGCGATAGCGTTTTAATTAATAGTTAAAATCAGTCTGGAATATTTGCATTTGATTTTTTAACAGCCTTATGACCAAAAGGGCTCACCAAAGCAATCCATCCCCTTAAAATGAAAGAATTTTCCTCAAGTACAAATTCTCTCAACGGCCTCTGATGGTTCCTCGTGATTAGATTCAAGTTATGCATTCTCAGTTGAAACAACCACATAAGGGAAGTTGTGTCTTTCCTCGAGGTATTACATCCAGAGGCACAGGGTGTCTGTTCATTTTAAAGTGATATTAATCTTTATCACCGGATCAAGGTGTTGTCCATTTTCTCCACTGTTCGTTTTCCCCCTTGCAACTCATAAACAATCTGTGAAAAGATACTTTGAGACCAAGTAAATATCTTTCTCCTAATCAAACTCTACCTTAAAGTTTTGCGTCCATTGATAATTCTTACTGCAACTGATTTTTACAGTGAAATTTCCAAAGTATTGATTTTCCCCCCTAATTCTTTCAAGCCCTCCACATTTATTAGCCCTGATGCTACTATCAAGAAAAACCCTCCTTATTTATTTACTATTAGTATGAATTTACGTGAACATTTTATTCAAGAAGTTATAATCCATTGTTTTTCTTACTTATTTGCTTGTTTATTTATTAATAGTTTCTTATCTAATAGACTATTTTTAGGACAGTTTTTGAGAAAAATTGAGTAGAGAGTTCCTGTGTATCCCCCCACCCCACACAGTTTCCCCTGTTACTAACCTCTTACATTATTATGGTACATTCTTGTAATTAACCAATATTAATATGTTGATATTAACTACAGCCTATAGTTTTCCAGATTTCCTTAATTTTTACCTAATGTCCTTTCTGTTTCAGGATCCCATCCATGATACAATATTACATGGAGTTGTCATTTCTCCTTAGGCTATTCTTCGCCGTGACATTTTCTCAGACTCTACTTGTTTTTGATGACCTTGGCAATTTTGACGAAAACTGGTCAGGTACCTTGTAGGATGCTCTTTTATTCGAATTTATCTGATGCTTTTCCAGATTAAACTGGGGTTATAGGTTTTTGAGAGGAAAACCACAGAGAGAAGTGTCATTTCATTACATTATAGCAAGTATAACTTATCATTGTTTATACTGAATTTGATAACCTGGCTAAAGTAGTGTTTGTCAGATTTCTCTACCACGAAGTTACTCTTCTTTCCCCTTTCCATACTGTACTCCTTGGAAGGAAGTCACTGTGCACAGCACACATTCTCAAATGCTGCCCCTTCATTGGAGTAAAATATTTATGTAATTTATTTGGAATTCTTCTGCATGGGAGATTTGTTTCTTCTCTCCCGTCCTTATTTGCTTTGATGCTCAAATTATCTGGAATTTGGTCAGCTTCGGGTTGACTCTTTTTGACCTGCACATTGAGTACTTCCTTACTTTGTGGCACAGTAAGATTTTCTAGGCTCATCTTGTACATTCATTTTTCCTGCCCTGGAATCAAAAAATTCTCCAAAAGTCTTGGTTTCTTTTATTTTTTATTGGAGAATGATATTTAGAAGTTAAGACCTTGGCACTAAGGCTCTTTATTTAAATTGGGTTTTTATTGCTTTTAGGTTCTCTCAGTAGACAGAAGTAGGGGAGAGGGGAAATCAATTTTTTTCCCAAATAAGAAATCATAATTATTGATACTTAGGATTCCTATAAAATTCCACTGTTCTTTGTTGTCTTCCCCATTTCATACTTATATCTGCCTTTTTCAGCAGTGAGAATCTTGTTTCCTAACAGCACATTTACTTATTTGCCTAATACTGCATTGCACTTAAAATAGTTTCAGCATTGCTACATTCACATAGTTACATAAATAAATCTACTAAAAATGGTTTAAGCCCGTATTTGTAGTTTTTCTTCCTTAGGCTGAGGGTTGAAAGTCAAAGTACTACGTATAAAAATAACTTGGATTACTTCTCTTATCCCACCCTATCCAAGTTTGGTGGGTTTATATTGGTCATTTGAAATACACTTGAATTCATTTGTTTCTATTTCTGGTTAATTTTTCCTTCCATTATTGATGATTTCATTTTACTTTTGGAATATGTAGAATAATATGCTTCCAAAAGTCAAAACCATACAGAAAGTTATATTCAGAGAAATATCACTGTCTCCCTGTCTCTGAACCCTTTTTCCTATCTCTTTTTATATGTATATGTATGTTATGGAGGGGGCTTGTTTCCTTAAACTTCACAAACCAACCTGTGCTAGCTTCCAACTTTTATTTTACAGCTTCCTCACCTCTCTCAGCCCTCAGAATTTAAGAGTTAGGGCATTTTTCTGGCATATGCTTTGGCTTAAGGGAATGCTGTGGCTGGTTTGATCTTCTATCTAGATCACTAAAACTTTATCCATATATCCATATGGTGATATCCATAATATCACCCATCCTAAAGGTGTTTTGCTTTCTTATCATTCATGTCTTTACTGGAGTAGCACTTTTACTTTCCTTCTGTAACTTTTCCTTTGCAATCACAAATTGGCTAATGGTTACAAGAAACCTAGCTTTTGGTCTACCCCAGCTTTCAACATGCTTTCTTCACTAAGCTTAATCATTTCTAGCTTTTTATTTAAAGTGGCTGGTGTGCAACTCTTCCTTTCACTTGAACAGTTAGAGGCCATTGTCGGGTCACTAACTGGCCTGATTTCAATATTACTGTGTCTCAGGGAATACGAAGGCCCCAGGAGAGGGGGGAGAAGAGGGAGGAGCTGGTTCGTGGAGCAGTCAAAACACACACAACATTTATTGATTAAGTTTGCCATCTTATATGGGTGCAGTTCATGGGTGCCCTGAAACAATGTCAATAGTAACATCAAGGATTACTGATCACAGATCATCATAACAAACATGATAGTGAAAAAGTTTGAATTATTGTGAGAATAACCAAAATATGACACAGAGACACAAAGTAAGCAAATGCTGTTGGGAAAATGGCACCAATAAACTTGCCCGGTGCAGGGTTGCCACAAATGTTCAATTTGTAAAAAATACGGTATCCACATCAAGTGCAATAAAACGAGATGTGCCTGTATTGTATATATTCATGTTGGAAAGCATCCATCCTTTCCTATTTTCTCTGGAGTTTTTATTAGCAGTGAGTGTTGAATTTTGTTAAAGTGTTTTTCAGCAACTAGACATATTAATATGGGGAATTATCTTAATATTTCCTAATATTGAACCATGCTTTCAAATTTGTTATAAATCTCAAGTGGTCATAACACATTGTTTTCTTAAGGTAGTACTGGAGATTGTTCACTATATTTCACTTAGGATTTTTTCATTTATAAGTGATGTTGGTTTGTAATTTTTTTTGTCATATCTTAATCAGGTTTTTGTGTCAAAGATTAGTCACTGAAGCAGAAATTAGAAGCAAAATAGATGAGGGAGTCCCACTTTCCCAGTCTCCTCCAATCTTCCTTCTCTAAATATACCTAACAAGCCATATTTTGCTCACCTCACATTTTTTGTTCATTCAAGTCTTTTACTTTCCCATTAATATTTTTATGAGTCAGGACTACCCTTGGCGTGCACCATCTTTGAACTTCTGTATATAGTAATAAAAAAAATTCAGCCCACTAGAATGTTTCCTGTGTTATACATTGGTTACTTTTAGGGTCCTCCTGTTTTCTTCACTTTTGAAATTATTCATGTTTGCAAAAGGAGAATTTACCAACACTTTGAAGCCATCTTTTCTTTTTGTCACATATACAGTTCTTACTGTGTTTAGCCTTTCCACCTTGGTTGTTACAAACTCAAAATTGATAGGATCATTTTCTCCTGGTTTCTCAAAATTTTCTGGTGATACTCACACTGGTTCTCTTGGCTCTACCGTTATAGTTAGGCCCATGCCTTAAATCTGTCATTTCTTCCAGCCCCTGTTCCATCCTCATAGATGGATCTTAGGAATGGACCCATGCCAAATTAGTCGTTCATAATTACTGAGTTCCTTTTTGCCCAAAGTAGCCACCAATGTCTAGAGATAGAGGAGGGTTATGTATGGCTCCTTGCTATAACTTTGCTACCAGGTTTTAAAGAAAGCAAATCCCAGACTAAACTCTGCCACGTATACAGACATTTATTAGCAAAGTGTCACAAAACAAAGTAACGACACTTTTATGATGAAGTCCCAATTTTGTCCTTTAAATGTGCTAAACAATTTGCATGATGAGTTAATTGGAACCAACAATAGAGGTGAATTCA